GCTTTAATCCATTCACATATAAAACATTTTTAATTTGTATGGAAGAGGTATTACCTATTGTACCAATACCTTCAATGTGACCTTTTGAATTGTCTCCAAAAGTCACTTCTCCATTTTTGGCGTTAAGCTCAATGAACCGGCTTTTGTCTCCGGTCATGTGTCTTGAGCATCCATTATCAAGGTACCATGAATTTGAATTTGTTTCCCGTGCCTTGTAGCAATGCTCCTTTCCCTACAAACATAGATTAATTTTTGATTTTTGGTACCCAAATTCTTTTGGGTCCATATTCATTAGTTTCCAAAATCCTAGTCCCCTTAGGTATCCATTTGTGTAGGATATCTTTATCTTTAGTAGTAATGAGTTCTTTAGGAACCCATATACTTCTAACAAATTTTCCATTAGAGGTTCTTTGGGGACCTCTATGATTGTAGTTTCTAAAAATTTTTCTAACAAAGTTGGATTTTGAATTTCCACCTTTTTCAAAATGTTTTGTTCCAACTTTATCAAAAGAAGTTTTAAGATCATCAATTTTCTTTTGATGATCATCATTGATCTTTGAAAGTAAATTTTACAAATCTAAATTTTTCTTTTCAAACTCTTCTAGTTTGATTTGCAAATCTTTGATTTTACTTTCAAGATCGTTGTTGGTTTTGGATATGAGTTTGTTTTCATTTTTCAATTTTGAAACATCATTTTTATATTTTAAAAATCATTTCTCATAATCCGAAGCCAACCCATTATATTTCTCTAATAACTCATCATAGGATAAATCATCAAAATCGGATGAGTTAGAGGTTACCTTAGAATCTTCCCCGAATGCCATCAAGCACAAGTTAGCTACTTCTTGTTCCTCTTCATCGGAACTTTCTTCATCGCTCCATGTAGCCACATGAGCCTTGTGCTTATTCTTTGATTGACCCTTTTTCTTCAATTATGGGCAATCATATTTGACATGCCCCGACTTTTTGCATTCATAGCAAATAATTGGGTCATTCTCTTTCGGTTCATTTTTTAGGCCTTCATTTCGTTTGAATTTTCTTCCTCGATAAAGTCTCATCATTTTTTTCTGAACCGTTTGGCAAACAATGCCATTTCCTCGTCATCATCATCGTAATTCAAATCATTCTCATCTTTTGTGGATTTGAGAGCAACTCCATTGTTTTTCTTCCTCTTCTTCTCCTTTGGTGTCTCGTCAATCTTGTTGAGGTCCACCTTATCTTCGAGCATCATTTCATGAGTGAGGAGTGACCCAATTAGCTCTTCAAGAGTTAAGGACGTTAAGTGCTTAGACTCGATGATTGTCGTCTTCTTTGATTGCCACGATTTTGGGAGGGAGTAGACTAACTTCCTCACAAGCTTTTCATTTGAAATGATCTCTCCATATGATTTGAGACCATTGACAATCGTTGAAAATCTATCCGTCATAGCTTTGATATCTTCATTTGGTTTCATCCTGAAATTTTCATAGCTATGCGTTAGAATACTAATTTTAGATTTCTTTACCTCATCGGTACCTTCATGAGTGACTTGAAGTTTGTTCCATATTTGTTTGGCGGTTGTACACGATGAAACTCTTCCGTATTCATCTGGTCCAAGAGCACAAAAAATGATATGGATGGCTTTGGAGTTGAGCTGGAACATTCTTGTCTCTCCTTCACTCCACAACCTTGGATGAGTGAAAGATTTGATGTATCCTTCTTCTACGACATTCCATGCTCCCATGTCACTTGCTTGAATAAAGTACATCATCCTATTCTTCCAATAGGCATAGTTAGCAGCAGCATTGAAGAAAGGAGGCTTGTTGACAGGCATCGAATCGAGACCGGAGTTGAAATTTGAAGCGGAGGCCATTGATGACTTGATAATCGATGTAACTCTTCCCGAATCGACTCAAGAGGCGATTAAACCTTCAAATGAGTGAGGCTCTGATACCAATTATTGAGTTAATCGATCAACAGAATCGGCCAAGAGGGGGTGAATTGGCAATTAAAATTTTTAGTGGAAGCTTTTGTAGAAAATTGAAAAGATTTGCACAGTGATTTAGAGTGGTTCGACTTTCTCAACCAAAGTTTACGTCCACTACCTTAGCTATCCACACTAAGGATTTTCCACAAATTCACTAATTTGTCTTTCTTTTGAGGACAAAGAGTAACCTTACAAACGCTCAAGAATTATACCCCAAATTCTTGAGAAAACTCTCTCCCAAAGAGAACAATACAAATTTGCAAACTTACAAGGAAATCCTCACAAGGTAGATTGTTTGCACAATTCTAGAACAAACAAAAGAACACTCAAGAATGAATACAATTGAGTACAAAAGTGTTCTTGAAAGCAAAATGAATATTGAATGAAAAATAGGCTTGAAATGTTCAAATTTGAAGTTTGATGCTTTCTCATTGATTCTCTCTTGATTCTAGTTGCTTGATGTTTCTTGTTATTGATAAATGGCTTCTAAACTTGTTTAAATACTCCTTGAATCAATTCTGAACGTTGGTGATAATTAGTGAAGTCAATAGAGCTGTTATTGTGTGAAAACAATTAATTTTTGGGTGGGAGCTTCTCATGCATCGATGCATGACCATTATGCATCTGTGCATCAGTGTAAAATTTCAAATATTTTGACCATTGGACACCTAGTGCATCGGTGCACTAAGAGTGCATCGATGCATGAAGTGCATTCGATGTTTGAAAAATAGCCTGGTGCATCGATGCATGGCTTGTGCATCGATGCATCAAATGCATTCGATGTTTTAATTAAATCAGAGTGCATTGATGCATGAAGAGTGCATCGGTACATGAAATGCATTCGATGTTTCAATTTATTCATTGATGCATCGATGCATGGTATTGATGCATCGGTGCATGCTTTTGAAAAATTGATTTAAGGCTTGATTTTGGTTCAAAATACTTTGTGAAAATTGTTTCAAAAATAGTTTATGTACAAATCACAATTTTACACATTTAATAAGGATTAAAATTGATCTTCAAAGACTTGGAGTAATAATTTGATATTCGATTGAATCGAATATAAATTGTAAAATCATTTGTAAAATCTTAAATTTAATTTGTTATATCAAAATATCAAAAATGTTTTCAACATTTATTTTTTCAATTTAAAAGCCACATTGACCTCAATGCTATTAAGGGATTGTTTGATATTTCTTTTGAAAATTGACTTTTAAAAATGTCATAGAAAATAAATTTTAAAAATACAATTGAAAAGTATAGTTTAAAATTTAATTGTTTGATATTATTATCCAACAATATTTTTAATAAGATAAAATGTTCCTTTTAGACATTATATTGTAAATTAGAAATATGCTAATTTAAATTATTTTAAATTTATTAATATAAAAAATCAAATTAACTTATAGAAAGTATAAATGAAAAATATTATTATAATAAAAATATAAAATGAATTTAAAGGTTTTTTTCTTGAGTAAACTGTAATTAATATATAATTAATACATAATTTATACAAACAATTGAACTTTATTTTTGTTTTAGATAAAGGAGTGAAACTCATACATCACAGTAAGAGTAAAAAGTAAGAGTAAAAGTGTAACTTTGCTTCTAAACGAAAATTTAAACCGGAAAAGTTAGAAAATCTAATTTTTGTGGTTGGTTTAAAATTACTGCTCTAAATGTACTTTTATCTTTAAATTGATTATAATTTTAATTTTAAACTTGAATTTTAGATAAAAATGTATTTAGACAGATTACTAAACGAATCCAAAGCTTTTTTCTCCCTTTTATGAGCTTATGGTTTCAATATTTCTAGGCTTGGGTTTTTATGGCCCACATGTACTTTAATGTGTTTTTAGGTATTAACCAATAAAAATGGCAAATGCTAATGACAAACATTAATAATACAATAGTAAACGAAAGGAGTGTTTTAATCTGAATTCATCAGCTGATTTTAATGATAAAAAATATATTATTTTTTTTAAAAGTTTTAAATTCGAATAATTTAGTTTATATGGTATTTGAATTATTAATTAGTTAAAAAAGTTCTAAACATATATTATATTGTAATCACTTTAAATTAGTAAAAAAAACTATCCTCTATCTAATTATACATTTCATAATATATAGATCACAAGGGGTGTTCAAACGGTTAATTTGGCTACTGACCGGACCGAATTTTCGTTAATCGAATTAATCGAACTTTTTTTTGAAAATATTAACCGAACCAAACAAAGTTCGGTTATTTTGGTCGGTTAACCTAATTAACCAAAAACTTTAAATTTTATTAATTAGATTAATTATAATATAATAGAAGTATTTTTTTTATTTGGGTTAAACTTTTGATTAGGTATTGATAATTTAATGAGTTTAGTGTGGTTAAAAAATAAATGAGTCTTAATTCTTAATGAGTTTGAGCTTAAAATATGTATTTAATATATATAATATATTTCATATTTAATAATTTTGGTTAATTCGGTTAATTAACCAATTTCGAACTGAATTATTCGTTAACCGAATATTGAAAAATATTAACCGCTTTCCGACCGAACTTCGGTGGCCGACCGAGTTAACCAAACATTCGGTTCGATCGGTTAATTCTGTTGAAACCGAAAAATGAACACCCCTATAGATCACATTAAAATTCATATCTTTCAGGGACTACATTTGCTATTATCCCCAAAATTAACTTAATTAAAAACATGCATTATCAAGGTTAAAAACTCTAATTAAAGAATTAATACGAAACTGTTATATACATTAAAGTATCCCTAGATCATTCTTGCAGTCATGTCAGTTTCTGCAATCAAAAATGCCATCTTCTATTATAATCCGATTAAGATCCTCCAATAAAAATCTAATCCATGAAATCAAAACCAATCTTTTCTCACTGAAATTGGACGGTTGTGATCAAATTGTTATAAAAGTGAAAATCACAGAACAGTTGGTGTATCAGCCATGGACCCTCCTTGCTCACATGCAGGATTTATAGGGGAAAAATTTTCTCCATGGTTCTCGTCTCCAATGCATCAGTGTCAGTCATTTTCTTCTTCAACCTCTCTCTCTTTTATCTCTTCAACCTTAAAACCCTAAAGATTTTCCATTTTCTTTCTGGTGCAATGTTTAGCAACAAAAAGAAGCTGGCACTTAACACAGTTTCAGTAAGCTTAGGTTGCAGCGGCTGCAAGAAATCCAAGCTCACCAGCTTTTTCAACCCCAAACCCAAATCAAAGTCGAAATCGAAAGCCCATTCTCTTTACACCTACTCATCGTCTTCAAGCTCTTCCAAGAAAGCAACCCATTGTTATTTCTCCGAGACCGCCACCTCTTTTTCTCCCAGCACTGACACGCCTCCATGCTCGGACGTGGACACCAAGTGTTCCATGGCGACTTTACGAGGTTTTGGCCGTGTCGGAGGAGAGAGCATGGCGGTGGAGAAAGACTCCGACGACCCTTACTTGGATTTCAGGCACTCCATGTTGCAGATGATATTGGAGAAAGAGATATATTCCAAAGATGACTTGAGGGAGCTTCTCAACTGTTTCCTGCAGCTGAATTCGCCATATTATCATGGGGTTATTATTAGAGCTTTCACGGAGATCTGGAATGTGATTTTCTCCGTCAAGAATGGTGGTGGCGCCGCCGGTTCGTCACCGAAGCTGCATTTTGGGTTCGGGCCACGTGACTTGTAGGTGCAGCTGCTGCCACGTTTATCTATGCTTGGATTACAGTGTAGTGGATTAATATCATATATTATATATATATATATATAATAAAAACTGGTTAAGGTAATATTTAAAGAAATATTTCCGAGCTTAATGCAATGGTAAGTTGTGAAGCCTTTTCTTGCATTAAATGAAAATATTTCTTTAAATAAAATCTCATTAACAAGTGCATTTATGGCAGTCTTTATCTTAGTTAAAATCTCCTAACTTAAATATAGACAAGTAGTTGGATTATGGGTTATGTTTGACAATATGGTAGTGTATTTTGCTATTTGGAAATGGAAAAAGGCTTTATTTTTTCTTTCTTTTTCATGTTTATGTTTATATAAATGAATTAAGATAATAGTAGTATTCAGGGATGGACTGAAGGAATTGATCGAGCTTTCATCATTTAAAATATTATAAATTAATTCCTTAATATAATATTTTTGGTATGTCTAGTGATATAAATAATGGTGAATTAATTAGATTTTTTGATATAACCATTAGTATTTAATATTTTAATCGACTAATCTAACTTAAATGGTGTAGAGATCCATTATAAAATAATCTTTTTAATCCAATTTACTTAATTTATAAACGTTAAAATTTAAATTTTCGACTTTATTAAGAGTATAATACTTTATTCCACTAAATCAAGAGTTGAGTTTTAATCAAGAAGATGACGGTGGATCATTGGTATTTTACTTCAAGGAGTGATCTTAGATTACTACTTTTAACATCAATAGTTAAAATTATTAACTACAAAATAGAAAAGATTTATTGGGTTGGACAATTTGGAGGTCACAACTCAGCATTTATCCTCTTTTGGAAAAATACGTGGCAACTTTTAATTGCTAAATAAACTAAATTTGAGAAAGGGCAGCTTAATGGATAAGAGCCAAGTCAAGGCAAATGTTGTTTGTTTGTTTGCGAACTGCTAGGGAGTGGAGAGTAACGTTCATGTATTAAAGGCGAGTGTTATGTAAATTTTAGGGTAAATTATGTATTTAGTCATCCATTTATTTTTATAATTTTGTTTAGCTCACTTAATTATTTTATTTTTCAAAATTATACTTAATGTTACACTTTTGTTTCATTTCGGTCACCCGTTGTTAAAAAAAATAACAATGATACTAATGTGACATTATAAAGTAATGTCAAGTCATCATGTAAAAAATAAAAAATTAGCACATCATCAATTCTGTTCTTTTAGCTACTAGTGATCAAAATAGAACAGAAACGTAACATTATGTATAATTTTGAAAAAAAGTTGGTGACCAAAATAAAATTACATGAATATATAGGTGACTAAATACATAGTTGACCCTATTTTACATAACACGAATCAAACGATCTCAGTGGTTGAGGGATAGGGATTTATTGTTATCCATTAAGGTCCTCGGTTCGAACACCACATATTCAATGGTACAAACTTTTATTATCACATGGCTGAAAATCTTTGAATATTATTACTATGTATTTATCCTGAATTTATAAAAAAATATTTTTATAATTTTTTTTATTAATCTATATGTTTATAAGTAGAGAAAATCGCCTCAGTGACCAAAAATGCCTTATAATATACGATTTTAACCAATTTTTTTTGGATTTGCCAAAATGACCAATAAAATCGCAATGCGATCTCTAATTCGCAACGCGATTTTCAGTATCGCAAATTCGCGTTGCATTTCGCGTTGCGATAGTCGAAAATCGCGTTGCAATAGTCTACAGTGTCGTTATTTTTCATTTCGCGTTGCGATAGTCTACAGTGTCGTTGCGATTTTCCGTTTTGCGTTGCGATAGTGTACATTGTCGTTGCGATTTTCCATCTCGCGTTGCGATAGTCTACAGTGTCGTTTGCGATAGTCTAAAATAAATTAAAAAAAGATTTTGTTTCTTAAGAATTTTCTCTAAAAAGATAGTATCCGCGCGGACGTGTCGAAGACACGTATTACCACGACCACGACCACGACCACGACCACGACCACGACCACGACACGACACACACACACGACACGACACGACACGACACGACACGACACGACACGACACGACACGACACGACACGACACGACACGACACGACCCGACCCGACCCGACCCGACCCGACCCGACCGACCCGACCCTACCCCCGACCCGACCCGAACCCGACCCGAGACGGCGGCGGCGGCGGCGCGCGAGAGTCCCCCTTGTTCTCTTTCACTCAACAAGGAAATGGGAAATCCAAGCCTTAAATACACTTCCATATAGTGTTTCCAATACTATGTGGGATTGAGCATTACTCAACACTTCAAAGAAAATATAGCAATTTTGTTATGTAAATTTTAGGGTAAATTGTATTTAGTCATCCATTTATTTTTTAATTTTGTTTAGCACTTAATTATTTATTTTCAAAATTATACTAAATGTTACACTTTTGTTTCCTTTCGGTCACCCGTTGTTAAAAAAAATAACAATGATACTAATGTGACATTATAAAGTAATGTCAAGTCATCATGTAAAAAATAAAAAATTAGCACATCATCAATTCTGTTCTTTTAGCTACTAGTGATCAAAATAGAACAGAAACGTAACATTGTGTATAATTTTGAAAAAAAGTTGGTGACCAAAATAAAATTACATGAATATATAGGTGACTAAATACATAGTTGACCCTATTTTACATAACACGAATCAAACGATCTCAGTAGTTGAGGGATAGGGATTTATTGTTATCCATTAAGGTCCTCGGTTCTAACACCACGTATTCAATGGTACAAACTTTTATTACCACGCGATTTTCAACTATCGCAACGCGAAATGGAAAATCGCAACGACACTGTAGACTATCGCAACGCGAAATGGAAAATCGCAACGCAAATCGCAACGCGACGATTTTCAACTATCGCAATGCGAAATGCAACGCGAATTTGCGATAGTGGAGATCGCAATGCGAATTAGAGATCGCATTGCGATTTTGTTGGTCATTTTCGCAAATCCAAAAAAAGTTGGTCAAAATCGTATATTATCTGTGATTTTTGGTCACTGAGGTTATTTTCTCTTATAAGTACTGATATCTATTTTAAAAACTCTCAACTATTAACAATAAACACTCAAATATCTAGTACAGCCGCTAGTGCTTGAAACTAATACCTCTAAAAATAATAATATTTTTTAAAATAAAATCATTTAGTTCGTATAATATTTTGTTAATATGGTATATTTATTTAAGATAAAATTTAGTACTAGTGAAGACCACAAATCGTGGCCCCAAATTTGTATGCGGATGCGGTGTTGGGAGAGGCATTGGGATTTGGAAGAGTAATAATTAGAGAAAGAGTGTCGTATGCTGAAACACAATTGAATGCGGCTTTTAATGGAGTAATTTTCAACACAGGCTTTTTACATTTTCCAACACAGTAATCCCTTTGTAATTTTTGAACTTAACGCTTCCATAAATTGCTAAATATATTGAAAATTTTAATATAAATTTAATATTATGTTCATCATTGTCAAAAGAATTTTGTAAAAATATTTAATTTTAATTAAGTGAAAAAAAACTTGCTTCGAAAAATTTGATATTTCCTTTTTGAAATATAAAAAAATGATTTGAGGAGTTGTCACAAATATTTAATTAATGTGTGATTAGATACCCAAAACAATTTTCATTTTAATAAAACATTTATTTAATTTTATTAAAACAACATTTTTAGGTCTACATTCCAAAAAATTGAGTTCGAGAGTTGATTACGCATGAGGGAAGGATTATCTTCTCCCGCTTCACTTCGGGAGCTATTATGTCCGGACATTTAATAAAATAAACACATTGTTCTATTAGCAAAACATCATACTCATACTATACCAGATCAAAAGTTCTCACTATATATTGACATGTATTCCATCTAAAGACTCTATAGACTTTGGTTTATGCCTAGAATCGGCTAAACCATAGCTCTGATACCATTAAATGTAACACCCTCAACCCATACCCGACCCGGATACGAGTCCAGGATGTCACATTGACTAAAAAACAATATTCTAAAAAAAATGATAAAACATTTGTACTTATATTATTAAAATACAATAATATACATATGTTAATACAAGTTTATGAAAATACTCAGAGCATACACAACTTGACCCTTTGATTACATGCCAACATTCATTTACATAACAAAATGACCTACTGATTAAGTTACATCTGATCTGATAGTTGTAGGATTAATGTTGTCCAGCTGCTTAACCTGTCTCGTCTACTTTCTCGGATCATACATGTGAAACACTCACACGCTAAGTCATCGACTTAGTGAGGCAATATAATAATAATAACAACAAGGAAATGTAATAAAAATGCCATAATAAGATGGAATGAGATGAAATCTTATACTTAACAATGCAGTTTATATCACCATGTTCCTTACCTATAAACATAATACATTAACATTCATGAATTCGTATTAATAAGTTTATTGGCCCATGATACCATACTGAGAACCTAAGGTATGTGAGTACTGTGAGATTGTGCACTATGCTGCCACCACAACTCGTATAAATGCACCGAAGTGCCACGTAGAATTGAACCGAAGTGTCGCGTAGAATTGCACCGTAGTGCTATATAAGATGTCCCTAAGGACCACGTAGAAAATTCCTTAAGAATCATATACATATGCCAAGGATCAAGTACGTGTCGCAAAATACATCATACATGTTCCAAGGAATACATATATGTCCCGAAGGACCGCGTAGACCCTCTACTATTGGCATGCCAATTATACCTATAGTTCTCATCTACATAACATGGGTTTTTCTCAATCTACATAGTATATCACATAGACATATCCTTTTCCTTACCTTTATCACATAGTTCATAAAACTTTGTATACATATTCATTTAAAACATATTACACAATACACATAGTATGAATTTCTATTACATTTCATGATATGAAATGAATCATTTATCAATGTATTGAATCTTGACTTATCAGAAGTCTAGAACTGGATACACTACGAAAATCATGTTATGCATATGCACTCACCTATATTTCTCTGCCTTTCTCGATTGATCTTACTGGGCAATTGTTCTGGAAC